CTAACAGACATAGATCCTGCCATGGATGCAGCTTGTCAAATTATATATAAAAATGCTTATTATATATATTGTATTTGGCACCTGTCTCAAAATCTACCCAAATAACTTAAAAATAAGCTTGGTTCTATTGATTATAAACCTTTTATTAATGACTTTTGGAAAGTACACAATTCATTATGTATTAATGTCTTTGAACAAAGATTTCAAACTTTATTAAATATTTACTCTAATGCTAATAATTATTTGCTTGATCCAATTTATACAACATGCCATTTTTGGGCACATGCCTTTACAAATCAAATATTTACTGTTAGAATGCAATCAACACAATGTGTTGAGTCAATAAATACACTTATTCATAAGGCTGTCTTCACTAGCTCTACTATGTTTAATGTAGTTGATGCATTAGACTCTTGAATGCAGAAAGAAGCTTTAAATAAGAGTTTTATGGTGTGAAAATACAAGTTAACAACATTTTACCAACCATTCATTGTAGAAAGCTTTTTTAATGACATAAATAATATGATTAAAAAATATTTTACACCATAAATTGTTAAAGCAATCCATACCCAGATGTGTGAATCAGTACTATATAGATATGTAAAGATACCTAATAAAGAAGCTTTTGACTTAACTGAAGATCAACTAGTAAGTTATTATTTATTAGAATTTGAGTTAATTAAAGATTACTATTAACTATAAGTAAAATTTGATTAGAATTAGAATAAATATGAGTTAAGTGTTAGTTGTTAGGCTTAGAATTAGTATAAAAATTAGGATTAGTTAGAGTTAGAAATTAGTTGTTAATATTCAGATTCTTTAGGGTTAGGGAAAAAATTAGAATTAGTTGTTAGAATTTGAATTTTTAGGATTAGGGTGAAAATTAGAATTAGTTGTTAGAATTAAGGTTTTTTTGGATTTTTAGAGTTAGAATTAGTTTAGTATTAGAGTTAGTGTTAGTATATATTATGTATATATTAATAATATGCATTTTATGAATTTTAGGATGAAATATCATTAGTAGATGATCAGGATAATGAAAATATTGCGAATGTTGAAGACTATTATAATTATTGGCAGACATATTTAAAAGTATTAATAGACTCAGTTCCAAAGAAATCAATTCAAGAAGTGTGGCAAATTGTTTCTATATGGCTACAGATTCATATTAATATATTATTCTTCTTATAGATAAAACGTATTTATGTACATATTTACTGTTAGTTTCGCATGGAATTATCTGTCAGCATTATTTTAAACTAATGGTAGAAAATTCAAATACATTATTTTATATAATGCTGATGCCAATATAGTGGTTTCAAGACAGTATTTGGAATAAAGTTGAATTGGCTTCTAATAAGTCTTTTATTAAAGCATCATCTAAAAGTTTAAAAAGTTCATATAGTGATGTTTTGCAGAAAACTTATCCTATTTCTAAATATTTTGATAATATTCAAGAAGATCGGGTTCACTAACATATATATAAAAAACAATATTATGGTCAGCTTATAGGTCACTTTAAAAAAGTGCTACATTACTCGATGGAAGATAATGATCAAAAAACTTTAGATGATCTTATATTGGTTTATATTTCAAAAAAAGAAAAAACCAGCAAACGAATATGCAATCAGAACGTAGAATCTTAAGAGAAAATGTTAATTTGAACTGTGAAATTAAATTATCTGATGGTCAAGTGCTTGATGCTAATAATATTAAGGATCTGATAGAACGTAAAGATAAAGGTAGACTTGCAAACAAACGATTAAAAGCTTATAACGTAAAAAATAAAGTAAATAATCAAAAAAAGAATATATATAAAGTTGATAATAGTAATTTAAACAATGCTATTAGTAGTCGTAAATGTGGGTTGTATCATAAAACTGGTCATTATGCTCCAAAATATTTTACTAAAAATAGCGATTGTTAGTATTTTTATATCCTATACAAGCATTATTAAATTATAAATTGCAATACTGAGTATTTTTACTTGGGGATCGAAAGCCAATTAATAATAAATGTTTGTTACTTTATTATTTGTGTTAATAAGTTTAAATCTATTATAGCTAAACCTGATCCAATTAGCATATAGGGTATGACCAATTATGGGGTGTGACAAATAAGTATTTACTAAGTATATTATATAATAATTGTTTCTTTATCACATCTATGATTGGTACTCCCAACATGCTAATTGAATCAGGTTTAGCTATATAGACTAAGTAACATATAAGATACGTTGCCCCATGCAACGAATAAATTTACTCAATTAATAAAATCAGTAAATCATCATCTTATAATTAGTAAAATCATAAAACAATCATTTTAATCATCACATATCATTTTAATATCTAGATCATTAATATTAATTAATATAGTCTTATTAGTTTCATTATGAAATATAAATAAACTATAAATATCAGTTAGTAAAATAAAAAAATATAAGCACTCATCAATATATTAGCCATGATTAAGTTTTAGATAATAAATTAATAAAATTAGCATATCATCATCTTATAATTAGTAAAATCATTAAACAATTATATTAATCATCATATATTATTTTAATATTAAGATTATTAATATTAATTAATATAGTTGTATAATTATCATCTTGAAATTTAATTAATTGTTAATCTATCTTATCTTATTATTCTTTAGTTTTTATGAAGATATTATTATTAATTAAGAAATCTACTTTTTTTTAGAATTATAATTTAAGATTTGGAGCTTTTGCAGTAGAAAGAGCAGAAACTCGAATATATCTCATTTTGAGATAATTGAGTTTAATCACTTGTTTTGATTTTCGGACTGATCCAGGTCAACCAAAATTTTATGATTTTGATTTTACTGTAACTAGATTTATTTTTTATTTTTTTTTCAAGGACAAAAATAGTAATAAAAATAGAGAAAATATTGGTAGTTAATTGTATACAATCAGATAATAAAAATCAAAGTGAAAATTGACAAGATGATGCTTAAGACTTAATATCTGTTTAAACAAATTAGTATTGTAGTCTAACTACTTTTTGTAAATCTTTATATGTTTCTTTTGTCAAATTCCAATTTTTTAGTATTATATCTATTAGTGTGCTAGATCTTGCATTGTTTAACCAAGTGGTATAAAAAAATTCTAGTTATTTTTTAAATTTTTCTTATGTATTTTTAGATTACTAGTATTAAAAATTAAAATTGTTTCAAATTAATTAATGTCACAAAATAAAATGAAATCAAATTAAAATAAAATTGAAAACCTCTCTTGTTTATCTTTAATGTTTATAAAACCTATATATACTCTCTTATTAATAACTTTAACCCTAAATCTAACTCTTAATACTAAACAAAACCCAAAAAAATGTCTCCTAAAAAATTTTAAATTTTCTTAAAAATTAGAAACATTTTATTTTAATCTAATTTTATTTTAATCTGTAACAATTAATAAATTAGATAGCTATAAGATGCTGTTACACTAAAAGCTAAAATATAAACAATAATATTCTTAAAATAGATACATATCATTTCACTAACAATCACTTCACCAACATCTTAGTTTACTGACAATTAATTCACTGACAAGTTTATTTTACCAACAATTAATTCACTAACAAGTTTATTTCACTAACAAGTTTTATTTATAAATTACACTAACCTAATTCTAATTCTAGCCTGACCTTAATAACAATGACCAGAATTACTTGGTTGTGAAATGAGCTGTTGGTGAATTAGTTGTTGGTAAAATGAACTTGTTGGTGAATTAATTGTCAGTGAACTAAGATGTTGGTGAAGTAATTGTTAGTAAAATGAGCACCACCCTCGAGCACCACCCTCTTAAAATAGAATAATATTAAAAATTTAACAAAATATATAGTTATATCACAAATTAAGTAGTATGTATTCACAAAATTCTGCATTTTATTTGATAATATATGTAGCAAAGTAGGGATGTAAATGCATATTAGAAATTTTATATATAGTATCAATACAGCATATTTGTAATATATTCTTTATATACAGAAAATTTCTACATACTGGAACTATTGAATGAAAGAGCTAATAAAATAATACAGAAATCAGGCTAATCTAACTTCAACTGCATATAAAAAATAAGGCTAGCTTTAGATAAATAAAATAAGTTTTTTTATAAGTATTAAAAACTAGTAGAGCAATATAGCACTATAGAATAATACTTTGATATCAATAAGTAATAATAATAGATAATGCAATAATGAGTGATGCTGTTAAGAATGATAATTAAGTGGTGATTTTAAGAACTGTAATAGATTACTAGAGTTGAATAACCAGTTGTAAGTATCATTTTCTACTACAATTTCCACAAGTCACTAATGTTAATGACAATATTTAATACCACAAATATTTCAGAATCCGAGTCTTAATAAACCAAGTCAAAGTTATAGGTCAATTCAGTTTATTGAATTGAGTTTCAAAAGGGTTTATTAAAGTTACAAGTTGAATTCAATAGATAATATACAAGGAAAAATTCAGATAAGATTTATACTTTATTATGTATTATGGGTGAAAGTGAACAAGTCATGTCATTCTTTATTAAATTTTAGACACTTATATACATTTTGTTTTATTGGAACATTTATGCTCTTTTTTGAACATATACGCTCTAATTTGAGCGTATACACTTTCTTTTGAATGTATACGCTCTTTTTGAACGTATATATAGGAATCAACAAATTTATGTAAGTACGTTTATGCAATTTTTTTGAGTGTATATGCGCTTGCATAGAAGCTACAATCAATTGCCATTTTAGTATACTCGATTAAAATATTTACATGATACAAAGAAACGTCGGTTACTGCTATGAAAATGGAATTGGGAAGAACTATATACATAAAAATAAAAAGAAACTATAATAATATGTTTATATAGAAATAAAATAAGATAAAATATTATATAATAAAAGAAAGTAAAATTTTATTCTTTACAATACGTACGTACGTACGTACGATTTGATCCACAACTGATGTTTTTCTCATGATCTATTTCACAATTAAGTTTTAAAATTCTTATATTTAAATGTTGTAACAATTGATAGTAAAAGCATGCTTTTTTCAGACATAAACATTAGTGGCCCGATTCAAATTTTCATAACTATCACGGGATATTTGGCATTTTCATTTGTCTATATAAGATTTATTATCACTGATTAGAGTTTGGAAACCGGTTTTAACATATGAAAAATAAAGAACTCTATCACCGATTATAAA